TCACAAGTCATTATTATATTTAACAAGTCTCAGTCAGAAACCAATTATATAATGTCAAAATTTAAATCCTCTTTATTAAACTTCTGTTATTCCCTAATATCACATACTAAGTACAGCACAATACAAAAACTTACAAAGGAAATTTCTTTATTTCAAAAATTTCACAACATATTTGGAGTAGTTAAATGAATACACTAAGTGCTTTCCAGTGAAACTCATCGTTGCATTGGGACTATGCTTCTGAAAACGCAACACAATTGGAAGTATGTACCTAAGGGTATTAATTTAGAAGAAAATAAAAACTAAATATGCATGGTCATTGCTGTTAAGTTGCTGCTAAGTTGGTGCTCAGCTGTCAATCACAATGGTTTAGACACAACAACTGTATTTAACACCAAAAATCTTTTGCACACTCTTAAGACTCAAGTTCAAATTGTACTTATAATACTCAGAACTCAATGTGCTTATAAGTTTAAATAACTTGTTGTATATTTAGATGCTAGATATAGTTCTACATTTAAAATAACTACAATTCATATATTGCTTTTAATTACCTATGTGTATATAGATGTATATTTTTATGGACCAAAATGAGGATGAGATATAGAATGACTGTTCTATTCTTTCATAAAACAATAATCTTTCACACAACAAAGAACAAAAGCAAATGGATGTGCACAGTGAAAACTATTACCACCAATCCCTTATGGAAGCCCAGCCCAATGAATCTTTTCCAACTTATTCGGGATGTCACATGTAGAGGGTTTCTCTAAAAGGTTGGTAGCAACATTTATCAAAGGAATCAGTGACAGAGGAGCAAACTTTATTCCTATGAGGATGTTCTAGGCTGCTCTGGAAAGATGAAAAGATTATAGTTCATCTGCCAATTTATATATAATAAAAGCCTAAGCATCCATTACAGTGGAACAACCAGAATGACTGGTCTCTATGACACACACTGACCACCAGGGAGCAGATTCTCAACCAGAAGCTGGGCTCACAGCTGGCAAGTGCAGCAGCAGTGACGGGAACCTCTCCCACCCCCATGGCAGCACTAAGGAACAGCAAGCCCAGTCGTAAGAAGCAGCGAGCAAGTGGGTGGTAAGGGTCAAGGGGTCCCTGACTGCAAGAGAGATGTCCAACTGCTGGCTTAGGCCTGTGGAATGGGCCTAAGCCAGCAGGAAGACATCCCCCAAAGAGATCTCAGACTGTGAGAGGGTACAGGCCAGGGTGAAACCTCTCCCAGTGCACGAATTTTATGCACCAGGCCTCTAGTATTGTATCATATAGAATGCAGATGAACCTTCAATAAGAAATGTGAAAGTGTGTGTGTGTGAGAGAGAGAGAGTGTGTGTATGTGTGTGTTTGTGTGCGCGCGCGCGAGAGAGAGAGAGAGAGAGAGAGAGAGAGAGAGAGTGCGTGTGTGTGTGTGTGTGTGAGAGAGAGAGAGAGAGAGAGAGAGAGAGAGAGAGAGAGAGAGAGAGAGAGAGAAGTTGTGTAAGGGAGAAAAAGAAAAGAAGACAGGAGGTCATATGAAAGTGAAAAAAGGCAGTCAGACCTTGGGAAGTGGTTATTTATCATGAATAGAAGTACTATGGCCAGCATCATAACGCTAAACATAAACCTCTTTCAGAGAATATAATTAAGGCCTTCTTTTAAAATTTGACATTCTTTGGCTAAAAGTCAGGTAAGAGCAGAAATGGAAATAAATACAGAAAGGAGTTTAAGAAAGAAGGATTCATGCCAAGCCCATGGGTTTAGGGAATCATTCCAGTTGACTACTAATAAGCATCATTTCAGGGAAGGCAGAATTTACATTCCTATGATGTCATAGTCTACCATTTGCATCTTACTTGACAAAAACCTTGATATAGAGTAACTGATACAGGAAACAATTGTCAGGGAGAGGTTTGGTAAAGATATGATAGATGACAGAAGTTACATTGTCTTCAAGGGGAATAATGGGAAGATGCATAAGAGGGAGACTCAGCAAATAAACATTCCATTTGCATTCATATATGGGTAGAAGATTTTGAGATTGGTAGGCTCCCAGTATATTTGATAAACAAAGCCTTTTGCTTTTTATTTTTATATATACCATCAATATTGACATATATTTAAAATTGTTATAAACAACATTGTGCTTATGTAACACCGATTATGCAGATATTCACCTTATAATATAGAGTGGGTGGTTAAGACAATATGAGATGTCTCATTAAATGTGTACATCACTAAACCATGGATAAGGAATAATGAACAAAGACATCACGGCCAAGCACGCTTGGACTACCTCAATGAAACTGGTTATAGCTGATTCAAATATTCAGACTCTCCTACCACTTAATATGTGAAAAAGATAAAACTATAAATCAAGACTCATACTTGAGTTTCTCTGTGGTTTTTAGAGACTTTCATTTTCATATGAGGATACTTCAAATAGAGTAGTGAAAGACTTATTGACAGATGAGACCTACAGAGATTTGGGTGGGGATGGATGAATGGTTTGTTTCTTACCACACATAGACCTTTATAGACCTTATCATTGAGATTCAATTGACAACATGGTATTTAATAATCACATTTTACATCATGTTCCTGTCACCACCAGCATATTAAACTTATTTTACTGACATGTATTTAGGATCTTAGATGCAAAAGTTTCTCCAAATTATAAAGAAATTATACTATGTACCAAATTTACCATGTAATATATTATTACAGATATAAATGCATAATCCTAGGTGCCCAACTTGCCACTTTGAACATTTCTTGTCAAATATAACAAAACTGGATTAAATGAAATAGCAAGTGTGAAATGCCTGGAAGACTGTCTGGCACATCATGTGTATTCCGTATATATCAAACTGAGTGGCACAGAGGTATCATTCCTCTGATGTACTTTGTATTTAAGTGACATAAAGTACTGCATTTATCTATAATATATAAAAGGCTAATATGCAAAGTGTCCCCTCGGGAGTTCAACTGGGGGATGGGAATTCAGTCATTCATTATGATGTGTGCTGACCACCAGGGGGCGGTGCAGAACACAGTGGGTGACCAGTGGCAGCGGTGTGGCACTGAGGGGGCGAGGGAAGGAGGAGGTGGGATGGCAAGGATGCAGGGAACCTGATCACCCGCCAGGCCTAGATACTCTACACGCATACGAATTTCATGCACTGGGCTTCTAGTATAAAATAAAGAGCAAAGTTTTACAAAATTGTTTGTCCCATTACAACATTTACTTAAATGACAAGCTCTATCAGTGTATTTACTATGTGATGAAGTTTACCATAACTGCCATCAACCTGCAAATGTGCAGAAGTACAGCTACTATGTGGAAGGAACAAGGCAAGCAAACTTCTATCATGGTCACTGAGAGTGCCATTATGTCATCATTGACCATTTTCTCACTCCAATATCAAGTTCTTATGGGAACTTTTGCCACATATTTTACACTTTAATTGCAGCACTCTATGCCCTCTCCCATTTCTGGAGTTCTACCCCATTACAAAGAATTCAAGTAAAAAAACCTGCAGCTGGGCCAAAGGTTGGATTTGGACCAGGTGTCATACATGTAAGACTCAGCTGTTACTTAGTAAAATGTGTGGTGACTCCATTTCTCACTTTGGATGCATGACAAGTGTTGCATATACGAGGAGTCATGACAGCACTTGACAGGTAGAAAAATTAATAGGAAACTGAGCTCTAATGCATTGTGGTGTGTGCTCACAGAGTTTCCCCCAGAGTGAAAATGTATTAGTGAGCTTATTATTAGCCAGATTCTAAGTAACATGATTATTTAAATGTAAGAAAAATGTAAAACCATAGTAAATATAACTTAGAATCTCCTCTACGCACTCCGTTGCTGTCTCTCCCTGAAACTATTTTTCCATTTAGATAAATGAAAATGTGGAATGCTTAGAAGTGGCACTGTTTTCAATCCATTGGTCCGGCTCCGCAGTCTCCTTGTCAAGCATTCATACTCAATGGTGCATGCCAGCAAGAAGGGACTCTTTGATAAGGAAACATTGGCATCCATCAATGTCTCGTCCATTTGTGAGGAAGGCAGCCTGTGGTGCTGAAAGAATAGCTCCCCAGGACCAGCACACAGTTTGCTTTGGGGAGGAGAATGGACTGGAAGAAGGACACAGGACAGCCCTGAAGTAAACCCACAGAAGACACAAGTGGTAGACAATTACCTCAGAACTTCACACCACTTTCCAAGAAAACGTCTAGCTAACATGGCTACATTCTTATGTACAGTACAGTTGTCAAAGTAGATTTTATTTATTTATTTATTTATTTATTTATTTATTTATTTATTTATTTATTTATTTTTGAAAGCAGCCCTCTCCTGTTCTTCAAAGTAAAACCCTGGAGTAGGATATTCCAAAGAAGACATGAAAAAGTAAATTATACTAATTTTTCTGCCATTGGGATGTAGAGGTATCCTCCTCGGGAAACCCAATAGGGAAAGTCCGGAGACTTTGTAAAGGGCTTTCTTTTGGGCTCAAGCTGACACTCCTTTTCCCAAAGAAAACCATCCTCATGACCCATCCACCCCCAGCAGCCCTAGGGCATCCAGGGAGCTCAGCGCCCGCCCCCAGGATAATCCCGGTAAAAGGTACATGAAGACAAAGCAGGCTCTCCCTCCGCTGCGGGAGGCGGGGAGGCTGGGCAGCCTTGGGGTGCAGCGCGACGCGGCCAGAAGAAGGGAAAGTGGCCCCGTTTTGCCGGAGGAGGAAGCATCATCCTACAAGCCCACCTCTGATGTGGCTAGCAGCGGATGGTAAAAGGGCACAGAGGGTGGAGGCTGGAGGGAACAAACTTCCCCATTCTCCCACCCCGTCCCCCAAGAGCGCGGAGAGCATGCACCCGCCCGGACCACAAAGCGCGCTCGCCGCCGCGGGGCCCTCGCGTCCCGGGGCGCCGGGTCCCGTGGAGGCAGAGCCGGGCGCGGGCTGGACCGCGGGGCGGGCGGGGCGCGGGGCTCCTACCTTGAGCAGCACAAAGAGCCCGAGCAGAGGCAGGAGGCGGCGGCCGCAGCGGGTGCTCGCGGGCAGGTGCCCCATCGTGGCGCGGCCGGGGACCCAGAGGGACGGTGGTGCAGCGGGGCCCCGGCGGCGGCTCACAATGGATGGAGAACTGGGGCTGCAACTCAGACCCTGGGCGCCGCGGCAGCTCCCGGAGGGCGCATGCTGCTCCCGTTCCGGTCTCCTGGCCGCGGCTCTCCTTCCCCGTATGGCCCCCGGGGTCCTCCCGGAACCTGCCGGGCGTTGCTGTTCTTGAGCAGCTAAGGATGGGGAGGGCGGGAGGAGTGGGCGAGGCGCTGCTGCCAGCTGAGGCGTGGGTCCACGGGGCGAGAGAGAGGCGGGGACCGGGTCCCACCCTGGCAAGCTCTCAGGCAGCAGCGATATTCTCTGGGCTGCGGATTCATAAAGTGGCTGCAGCCTCCCAGCCCTCCCACCCACCGGGGTCCGCCCGCTGCTGCCTCTTATCGCTGGGCTCCGCCCCAATCCCTCCCTCAGTCTCGGACTTGGGAGTACTGTGCGGGGGTTTTCCTGACTCCTCTGGACCAACTCAGGGCGACATCCCAGTCCCCTCTTAACCTCCCCATGTGGTTATAAAGGACCAGAAGTAACTCCTGAAAGGGAGGGGTGGTTGTGACTAGCGAGAGAGAGAGAGAGAGAGAGAGAGAGAGAGAGAGAGAGAGAGAAGAGAAGAGAGAGAGAGAATACAACCCTTCTCTCTTCCATTCTCCCTATCCCATTTAAACACTCTCGCACTCTCCATCCCACATTCACCAGGGAGGATATAGCCCAAGTATACATATTTTCCATTTGGAATCAGGAGTTCTTGTAAATTTCAAGGGCCACCCTTTGATACCATTTATCTTTTTTTTAAAAACACACATATTTTATTGATTTTTTTTTTTTACAGAGAGGAAGAGAGAGAGATAGTTAGAAACGTCGATGAGAGAGAATCATTGATCAGCTGCCTCTTGCACACCCCCTACTGGGGATGTACATGCAACCAAGGTACATGCCCTTGACCAAAATTGAATCCTGGACCTTTCAGTCCGCAGGCTGACACTCTATCCACTGAGTCAAACCGGTTTCAGCGATGCCATTTATCTTGTAAATGCAAAAAGAACTTTCATTGTGTTGCATATTTTTATAAGATTATATTTTGCTATGTTGTCTTTCTATTTTTTCTTCATCACTTCTTTAGGAATTTGCTTAGCTTTTTATGCCTTTGTACACATGTACATATGGACCACTTCGGGGAAACATAACCAGTAAACAGTAAAGCATCCTTCATTAATTTGCATTATGAATACTCCATTAAGTACCACTGTAATTAGATGGCCAAAGACTGTAGATATCTACTCTAATAAAAGAGAAGCATACAAATTGACCATCACTCAGTTACACCCACCAGCCAATCAGGAGTGAGTGTGCACATAAACCCAACAAAGATGGCAGCAGCCATAAAGCAGGAGTGAGCAGGAGGCTTGGGTTGCCCCCAGTGATAAAGGAAGCCAAGCATCCTGCCCACCCTGGCTGGACCTGGCCTCAACTCAAGGGTACAAAGTTTCAATTATAGAAGATAAATAAATCCCAGATACCTGCTTCCAGTTGGCCCTGGCCTCTGCTCAAGGAGGCGCTGAAAAAAAAAAAGGAGAGTCTGCAAGCTTGGGTCACTGGGGTGTGTGGCAAGCCTGTAAACAGCCATCAGCCCCTCACCCAGGCTGGCCAGGCATTCTAGTGGCTATTTCCAGGCTGGCCAAACCCCCCACCCTGAAGGGGGTTTGGCCAGCCTGGAAATAGCCCTTAGCTCATCACCCAGGCTGGCCACACCCCCATGGCCCAATTCCTGTAAATGGACAGTCGAACATCCCTCAAGGGGTCCCAGATTGGAAAGGGTGCAGATTGGGCTCAGGGACACTACCCCCTTTCCCCTCCACCACCCCACTCCATGCATAAATTTTATGCACCAGGCCTCTAGTTATTTCATAATCACAAAAAATTTTTTTCTCCATCCTAAGGTATTTTACACAGCTCTTGCAAGACAAAATAATTGCATTTGTTTTTATTGCACTTAAAACAAAAACAGTCTTGTGAATCTTCCTAGGAGAGACTCCCAGAAGAATGTGAATAGCTGTATCATCAGCAATTTCCAATGCAGTAATTCCCAAGATTTCTATTTTCAAGATTGCAAATCAATAAGAATGGGCATGGGCAGCATATAGTGCATGTAGTAATGTGTGCTTCACCAATTGCTTCAAAGTGTTTGTTCTGATTTCATTATCCCAACAATTCTGGTAGGTAAAGAAGGCTATTTTCCTTGGAATGCTGCTTCTCAGACAACAGCTAAATGCAGAAAAGCGGAGTCTTTTACATGCCCTAAGGCAGGCCTTTAACATGAATCCTCACAAACTGAAATAGAGCTATTTCCTCTGGAAATAATAACAATGTTTTTAATGATCAAGAGCCTGAAAGATCCTTTTTTTTTTTTTTTTAAATCTGTAAGAGGCTTTATTTTTGTTAGGCAAAGCAACCTTTGCCTAAATATCTGAAAATGAATCTATGCCTGTGTAGTTCACACGATCACTCCTGTAGAAAGAAGGAGCAGTAGCAGCCACGGAGCAGGAGTTTCAATCCCTAGGAGAGGTTTAATGAGGAGTCAAATGGAACTCTTCCAGTGCCCTTGCCAATGAGGCTGAATTCTGTCCTCCAGGGACCAACTCTAATGTAGTTCAATATGGGTAGTCCTGGCTTCACTGCTGAAATCGCCTACGAGGCTGTCAGCACTCTCAGTATTAGAGTTGCATTTATGGGGGTTGCCCAATGATAAATCGTTTGCTTTATATGGATCACAGGAAAAGCCCAAGCCATTGATTTCCAGAAAATATTCCACTTGAAAAGCACAGTAATAGCCATGTAGTGTGCCATCCATATCTCACATGCTACAATTATTACCACATATAAATTCTAGATTGTCTGTAATGTTCTTATAATTGAATGCGCCAACAGCATTTCGACTTTCCATTTATTTGAACATTTGCTTTAGTTTTGCTCTTGATGACAACGGGGTTCTCGCCTAAAAGACGTGTTGACAATTCATAAATTCTGTATTTCAAAATCAGAATGATTGACAGGCCTCAGGTGAATAGCATGTTTCAACTGTCAAGATATATTATTCTTGCCACACTTGAGAAACAGTGACATTTACTACAGAAGGTCATGTTTGCTTTCACATGGATACTCTTTTCTCATTGCCTCCTTTTTTCTTCCTAAATAATGCCTATTGAGGGATCTATCAGGTTTTTTTTTTAATGTGACTCATATAATTTTAAGGAAAATAAAATAAGAATACTGTAACACAGGGCATAGTTTTATGACAAAAATCATCTGCTCAAAAGAATAGGAAAGCCTGAGCAGATATTAATCATTGGACACAAACTGCAGGCTATGGAATGAATGAACGATCCTAAATTAGGGAGGCAGATTGTCATTTTTAGATACTATTCTCTGTAGCAGTCAGTTATGTACTAGTTATGTACTAGGATTAGTGTATATTGTTCACATGTCCTTTACTTTTCCTAATTTATTTTTTTAAAAAGACACTAAACACACCCCTATATCATGCAGTTTTATTTCATAGCCTGTTTGTATGTGATGCATTGGCTAATGGACTTTTATAATAATTTTTCTGAACCATTACAGACATTGTTATCATCTACTCACCTAGTTATTCCTCATAACTAGGTGTCTTCATTAATTATAATTCAAAGCATCAACATCCTGCATTAGAGGAGCATCAGAATCCTGCATGAGAGGATCCACGTTAGCTTGGGGAAAAAAAGCATGACTAGAACTTGTATATAATATGTCAGCAAAGCAAGACAGATTGTTTGCTCAGTGAAAATGGTGCCTGCTGACCCTCTTTTTTCTTCCTTCTTTACTTCCCTTCAAATTAAAGATGTAATGCAACATTTACTATCTAACATGTGTGACAAACAGAGCCTACATATGCCTCTCTTAAAAAGTGGTTGCAGACCTGTCTGCTGTTTCTCAGTGATCAGAGCAGAGGCCTGTGCACCAATGAGTTGTGGGTTCAATTCCCTTGATCAAGAAAGGACACACACCTGGGTTGCAAGTTTGATCGTTGGCCCAGATCCCTGCCCCAGTAGATTCCCCAGTTCCCATCGGGATATAGGTGGGATGCAAACAATTGATGTTTCTCTCTATCTCGCTTTCCTTCACTCTTTCTGCCCTTCCCTCCCTTCTACCCTCTCTAAAAATCAATGGAAAGAATATCCTCGGGTGAGGATTAACAAAACAAAACAAAATAAAACAAAAAAAATGTTTGCAAATATATAATTATGGAAAAGTTTGTCATGGTGATTTCTGGTCATGGTGATTTTAGGTACTAGATAAACTGCACTGCAAGGCCTTCACAGTTAAGGATTCTATGATAAGCATAATAACTTTGCAGTGACAATTTTACTTCAAATCAATCACACTAAATCAATTTTCATGCTAAAAATTGCAAAGTTAATAATACTCTCTACTCTGTGAGAGAAGTGGTGAAGAAGCCCATAGTCTGAAGAGGGCTAGAGGATGCCAATGATAGATTGGTATTATTAACTACTATCTTAGCAGAAAAATCTAGAGTAAAATTGTTTAAGAAAACACGAATGTTATCAGGGAGATTTCAGTGTCCTAGAGAACATCCTCTTTATGAAGGGACATGAAGAAAAGCATAATTGGGAAGCTGTGCATTTCTAGAAACACTGTAGAGTGTCAATATTACTCTTTGACTCATGCAGACCCATATAACTAACGGCACACTTGACTCTTTCCTTGAATGTTTAAAACAGGTTGAACTTTAAAAGTCTGCAACTGAACTCATAATAATTCCCCCATAATTCCCTATCTCCATAAATGTAACACCAAACTGAGGCATACTTGTGGTCTCCTCCCCACCCCCAATGTTACCATTTCCAATTTTATTCAAATTCCTGTCATTTTACCTCAAAAATATTTCTTATATCAATTCCCTTCTC